TTTTAGCTTTTGTTCAGATATTAGTCGAGTTTATGCTACAATACGTTGTGAGTATAAATCTTCAGACTAGTGGAGCCAGATATCTTTTTATCTAGTAGCTARWTCRGCAAGTTTAAGATTGATAAATTTGGACGCTTTGTGGGCACTCTGTGGGCACAATATATAAGAATTCACTTTCGAGAGAAAGAAGTTCTTATAGAAATCCCATGGGTTTCTGACCAAGTCGTTCMTRYAWTATTCTTRAGCAAAGCTTACACCCATACCCAACTTTTAATATTAAAGGTTTATTTCATATTTTAAAGCTTTGCACCAATCAAAACTCAAATATTTTCTCAACCCGAAACATTGTTCAAGAAGTTCATGAAAGTCTCTGATTCTCAGTAAGTCCGGTCCCTGTGGAAACGATTTTGGTACTATACCACTTTATTACTTGAAGCGATCTTAGTGTCGGCGTGCACTTGCACCGCCACTTTGGGGATTTTATGCCCACTGTGTGCACACTTACGATTTTAGCACATCAGTCATCATCCTCAATTACTGGATAAAACTCTTGATTCTTGCCTTATTTTTACCGGGTACGATTCTTAATGCTTGCCGTACTCATCCGATAAAATAAAGTGATTTGATAAAAACTTACTAAAGTAACGTTTGTCTAAAACGATAGATATTTGGGACAAACATAACCGACCAAATTCAAAACGGTTATTATCACGTCAATCTCTGATGCGATTTTTTATTAGAAGTGGGACAAAACCCTAATTTTCCTCTTAAAACCCTCGGAAGATTGACGATGGCCAGCGGTTGGAGAAAATCATTAGGCAATGTCAGATCGGTCTTTGGAAATGCAATGGGCGGTCTCCGTGGCGGAAGCAACCTGGCGTCTTGGGTGGTTGCCGGAACCCTAGCATACTTTCTGTGGGTCAAGCCGTCACAAGAGCTCAAAAGAGAACAACAAGTACTCGTCTTAACTCGTCTGAATGCTCTTAATCAGTGATCGGTGATTAATCATTTATTTATTTTTGTTTTAGGAGAGGGCTGCGCTGGCGGCGGCATCGGATCGTTATCGATATGTTGAGAAAGTGAAGCCGATCCCCGATCTTCAGGTTTGATTAAATTCTTACATCAGTTATGTCGTATCTTTACATGAGAAACCTCAAAACGAAGTTAATTGAACAACAGTCAGCTGATCAAAAAATGCAGAATTGAGTTTGTAAGGCATTTTCAAATTGAACACTTCGATTTATTTGGGAAAAATGTCATTGTTTTTTTGTTAGAAATCCTCATCTTATTGTATAAACGAAATTGCGATTGATTTGCTAGATCATACATACATAAAATTAACTGAATTCATTTTTGATCTTGTAGGAAACTGGGATTATCTATGGGAACAAAAATAAAACTAAGAATCCTGAAATTTGATGGGAATATTTCTATAAGAGGGCGTAAGGTAATGTTGTTATGTTGCAGTCAAAAGGTTACTTATACGGTGATTGTGAAACTTTGGGCGTTATTTAAGAAATTTATTGAGAAAAAGGGTAATAGTTATTCAGTTTTGCAGAGAACTTCTGCTTTGTAATAATGTCCATGTAATTTCTCATGAGGACGAAATTTATGCATCTCAAATGATAAGGCATGCTTGATTTGCTAACAGTTCAAAGATGTGCTTGGTATTCAGTTATTATGCTTTAGATTTTTCAGTAGTGCATGGTTTTCTTTTAGATATATGTAAACATTATAATACTATTGATGTAGGAGAAATTACGGTAATTTGGGAATTGGTAGACATCATGATAGCCATCATTATTTTCTTTTGTGGAACATGGAAAGAAGATAAATTGACACCCATTCTTAACACTTGCACTTCCATGTTCCATAAAATGACAAAGTGATGAGCATGACGGGAAGTTTCATGGCCTTCATAGAAATAGGTCTTATTTGTTTCAGCGTTTTAACATTTTCGTTTTTGTTGGCCTTCTTCGTTGTATATAGCTTTTAAGTGATTATTGATCACTAAAGAATCTTGGAGAAAAAATGAACAATAAATAACAATTCATTCGGGAATGAATCGTCATTATTATTTAAACTTGGTACATATGAAATTTAGGAAACTGATATCTGCACTGTTGATAACACTAGCAAAAGCATCCATAACGAATGGAGTTCCATCATTTTTGCTCTGTTGCTATGATCCAGTTCACTTTGGTTCATTAACAAAAAGTTCCTATTTATTTTGCTTGAACATAGTTGAGAATTTAACGTGTCCATTGTTATAGTAGCAAATATAGGAGAAAGGTTTCCTAATAAAGTACAGTAAATTTGTAATTGGCTTGGGATAGTTTATGTTTTCCATAAGATTTCCAGGATTGTGTTATGTTCTGTATCAATACATCTATGTTCTTTCACCCACTTTATTCACAGTGCAACCCATAATAAGTTGACCTCCAATTGCAGTAGTTCGCTCGATGCATTTTATATGTGTTGATAGCATAAAGGACTTTATCGTAATATTTTTTATGGAGAAATAGGAAATGCTTACTAAAATATCTGTAGCTTTGTACATGGTGTGTGAAAACTTCGTATATCGCAACTATGTCTCATATTTACTATACCAATTTATAATTGTGAATTAGTGATGTTAGAGATTCTAGTTACTACTAGAGATGGCCAAATGGGCCTGGCCCGGCCCGTAACTGCCGGAGGACCGGAACCGGTTGAGGGACCGCCGGTTATGATTCAGTTAGGGTTTTTGACGTTTTCTGGGACCGAAACCGGTTATGTAACCGGTTATAGGACCGGCCCGGCCTGGTCAACGAAACGTATATAAATAATAAAACGTATTTTTATTGTGTATTTTGAAATGTATTTATGTTAAAAACGTATATATATATATAAATATATATAACAAAACATTTTTATAAACACGTATATATATATATATATATATAACAAAACGTATTTATAATAAAATGTATTTATAATAAAACATATTAAAAATATCATATTACAAACATATTAAAAATTTATTAATAACATTTTGTCTTGGTTAAGACCGGTAGGGACCGGTTAAGGCCTGGCCCGGGACCGGATTTTGGCCATCTCTAGTTACTACCATGAGAAAGGTCGATGCAACTGTTATGAAAGTATGCTTGTGCTTGACACATATCATTCATTTGTGAGATTTGTGATGCTCCTTATATAAGTTTTAATTTGTCTTACCTAAATATTGCTACACATGGGTAATTGTTTCTGGTGAAGGATATTTATTTAACTTAGAAATAGCAGATGTTGCTACTATCTTTCTCTCTCTCGTATGCACAAGTACTTATTTAGTAATTTAAGTCTGCTTCACAAACTTACTGATTTGTGGTGGAACACAATAACACATTGATAGAAGTGAATATAATTCGTAGTTGTGGCTTGTAATTCCTATTATCTGAGTAAATAATTGTAGCCAAACATTCTTTCTATAACACTAGTAAGCATTATACCCCTTGCCATGTGCAAAGTTAATAGTGACTTGATTGTATCCTGTGACGATTATCTGCTTGCAACACACCAGCACTACTACTCTGTAGCAGGGACTAGTAAAGTAAAAAATCTTTAGCGCGCCCCTTAAATCTTCAAATTTTTTCTATTCAAGACTCCTTCCATACCAAACACTACCGTTCATATGGTGTAAGTAGAGTGATTCTAGGTCCATTCACTTGGTATGAAGAGAAAATGAAGATAGTTGCACAAAATGGTGAATGGAGAAGTGGTATAAACCCAATTTCGGTGAGCCTTGTGAAATGACATGGTTTATCATTCAATGTTTTTGAGGTGCTATGTGTGTTTATATAACAGCAGTTATTGCATTTGATTTCTTCTATGCACGTGTCATCAACAAATCGGAGATTCTTTAAAATGCAGTTCTAGTATGTATGATTTGGGCAGCCATGTCTGTACTTATATGCTCTTGTTTTGTGAGGATCCTGTTCTTCAGAGAACATGTATCGTTCATGAAAGAAGGTTGAATCATGCAGTACGGGAGTTGCAGGGATGGGTGTTTTTCTTTGTTTCATTGTACCTACTTTTTTTTTTCTGTTTCTTACTACTACTAGTCGTAGTTTTTCTTTCCTTTTCTTTGTTTGACTGTTCCTACTCCTTTTCTTTCTGCTGCTTATATTACTAGTCTTATTTTTACCTTTTTGCTCACATTTTTCACAAGTCAGAGGTCTTCAGGAGAACAATCGCTCTATCATTTGGAATAGATGACAGGTTTGCATACATCCTCCCCCCAGGCGGCCTTACTTTGTGGGACATATTGTGTTCTTTTGATTTGGTTTGGTTTGGATACATGTGAAAATCCTTACTTCTGGTTTAAGTCTCGGCATGCAATGATCATGTTTTTTTAGTATATATGGCAAATACTGACGTACACTCCTCACCTCACATTTGTTGATGTTTGAACCCTTGACTTCTTGGAAGGTTGGGCTCTACCATAACCCATGTTACCGCTAGGCCAATGACCCTTTGGTAATGATCATGTTCCTTGTGATCATGCTAGTGGAAGTAGTGTAGTAGGAAGTTGGACTTTCTTTATATGCAGAACTGATGTATTTCAAGGTTTCTTTGATTTCTCCTAACAAAGTGGAGTGGATCAAGTTTTTCTTGATTTTTGTGGTGTGATCGCTGATCACAGAAAGGAGGCTTTGCTAATTGTGGTTAATTGTAAAAGGTCACATGTGTTGCAATTCGACTTCCATGCGAAGCTGTCTCGTAATATATGCCAAACTTTCAGCATGAATGTGTTGGAACTGCTGGTTGCATCTGGAAGCTACTTGTGGTAAGTGGTTCGTACAGTTTACGTGTTGATTTGTTTCTTATTTTACTTGTAGCCAAATGCAAGTATAAGCGATTTTACTTGCATTTGGGTTGGTTACAAAACAAGATTATGGGTATTTTAGTGATTTTAACTGTAAAGTGAATGAGTTTTCTTTTAATTACATATTTATAGTTGTTTGAAACTTGTGTATTAGTTGGAACTTGTAGTCCCAATTCTTGAGGCATATGGCCTCATGTAGGGATGAAAAACCGATTCACCGTCTCCATCCCTGATTCCGCTATCATGTTTTGGCATATGGGTTCATACCCAATCTATGGATACGAGGTAAAATCTATCTAAACCGACTTACTATAAATCGTGAAATCACAATGCATAACATATTAACTCATTAAGGTTGTGTTTGGTAAATGAGACGGGACAAAACAAAACTTATTGGCACATGGGACATGCACAAGGTACGACAGCTTGATTTTTTGTTTCATCAAGAGGCGGAATATATGATACGACAAAAATCAGACAAAAACTAAATATTAGTAATTAACCTACGTTTGATATATAACTTTAGGGGTGTTTGGGATTGCTTATAAAAGCTGTTTTTTAACTTATTTCAGTCTAGCACCGGTGATAAGCTGTTTTCTGGTGTTTGGATAAGAAAAAAAAACTGCTTATACCGGTGCCAAACCGGTAATAAGCTGTTTTTGATAAGTTAATCATTCCTGACTTATGAAAAACTGCTTATTACTAGTTTACAATTTTAATCATGTTTTATTTAACTCCGGTTTAATACCACATAAGTTAATAAGCACTTTTACAAAAAAACATAAGTAGTTTTAAATAAGCAATCCCAAACACCCCCTTAATATGATATTTGTTTTAGAGGTCAATACTGCTAGTGGCTTCAAATGGTAGCCACCATCAGCCACCTCCACCTCCTCTTCCACCACCATAACAATCATCGACCAGCATCCATCGCCATCCTCACAACCCCGTCAGCCATCGACCACCACTGTCTATCGCTACCGCCACTGCCTCCACCTCCTCTTCCACTACAATTATCACTGTCCATCACCACCACCACCACCACCATCCACAACCTCCATCACATTGGTCACAACTACCTCCTCCATCATTGTTGACAACTACCATTATCTATCATCTTTACGTCCTCTACAACCACTACCATCCACTAATGCCTCTATCTACACAACCGTTGTTGCAACAATCTTCAATGTCATCACGTCACCTCCAATTGATAAAGATCTTTTAAACCGAATAAAACAAATTTCTCTTTTGTAGGAATTGAGTTTTTTCGAACTATCATTAATTATATTAAAATTTTCATAAAATTTGGTGCTATTATATATGTATGTATTTATGTATATCACAATTGTGTAAAAATGTTTATAAATTAAATTATTTACTTTATTTTTGTTAATTATAACTATTCTATGATATAAAAAATCATCAAATAACTTTTTTGGGAAAAACTTGTCTAGTTTTGTTTGATTCATTCCAATTCTAGTCGTACTAAACACTATAAAAACATTTGTTTTGTCTAGTCTTGTCATGTCCAATCCTACCCTCTTGTCATGTCCAATCATGTCTTATTCAGGCGTATCTACCACCAAACGCCACCTAAAGTGACTACATGGTTGCCAAAGTTAAATGGTAGAAATAATGTTGTAATCAAAGCAATACACGAGTTCACAAAATATTATCTATTAACATTATTGATTATTTATACAAGCATAAGCAGAGCTTGGGGGAGCGCTCGGTCTGCTCTCACACCTCTTAGGGGACCGTTTATCCAACGCTTACCTGGTAAATGTTTACAGGTAAGGATCAACCTTTTAACTTAACTTATCGGGTAAAATTTTACTTTATCAAAACGGCATAGTATGTAATAATTTGTCTGGTAAGTGCTTACAGGGTAAGAGTCGTCACTCTCACTTACCGCGTAAGATCTTCGGTCCTTGTTATCGTTTTTACTGGGTAAGATTCTTGATCCTTGTCATGTTCATGCGATAAGGTAAAGTAACCCGGTAAGCACTTACCTGGTAAGCGTTTAACATGGTTCTAGATAACTTGTTATGGCTTCAAGGTTTGGGTTCGGCGCCACATTAACCCCCATGGCTCCACTCTAAGGCTTGACTTGCATTATTGCATGTTACGACATGTTATTTTGTGAAGTGTGGGTTACTTTAAGATACAACTCGAGGGATAAACGATAATTGTACAGAGACTTAAGACTTAAATAAACAAAAGAAACTTAAAAACTAAAACCTTAAATGGGTAAATACATTCCCGTACACGAAGCATAGTGTACATAGAACAGGAATTCTTTGAAAATTGAAGAAAGTAGTGAGTAGAGCTTCAAGAGATTTAATCCCGATTTCGCACTCTTGATATCATTTTCTATAAGCTCTATATAACATGTATCAATGGTTCTTCTTTATTTTTTAGTTTTATTACTTTATCACATGATTATCACACCCAAATTACACCAAATCGTGTTGATATAAGCGATAATGTGATAATTGTGTGATAATCACATGATTATCACACTCATATCACATGATTAACCGTTTATTAGATAATGATAATCATGATCGTGTAATCGTATTAAAAGATTTTATGATATCATTTCCATTATTACCCTTTTAATTTTAATATTTTCTAAATCTTTTTAAATTTCAATTTTAGTTTTAAAAATCTTTTAATTTTTTTTTATCACAATATATGGTTATTGAGTTGTTCTCGCATTCTCGTAAATCACAGGGGTTCTCGTTTGAATCCTTCCACACACACACACACACACACATATATATATATAGGGTGGTTCAAATACTAACCCATTTTTTTGTGTTAACTCTACTAACCAACATCAACCAATCACATTCTTTCTTTATTTTATGTTCAAATGTAACTTATAAATAGAATACAAGGGTCATTTTGTAATTTGACCTTTATGTAATTCCCTAATAATTATTTGGGAGTTACAAATCTTTTTAAGATCCCTCTAATTGATCATGAGGTAATTCCGATGTTCACGGTGTTCATGGTGTTCATATCAATGTAATGTCCATGAACATTCATCGTGTTCATATAAATGTTCACCGTGTTCATACAATGTTTTTACAAAAGTACCCTCTGAACCGTTGTTCATAGGTATCTCAATTAATATATTAATTAATGATTATTTTTATAGTCTCATTTAATAAAGACCGTTTGATGAGAAAATGAACGATCAAGATCGGGTTAACATAGTTTGCACAATAGTTTTGGTTAGTATTTGAACCAGCCCCTATATATATATATATATATATA